ATAAATCTTAAAAAAAAAATATATATATATATATATATATATATATCAAATCAGAGGAAATTACTTTTATTGTAAGGATTTCATGAATATTGTATTAATCACCTATCTAACAAAATGTTACTTTGGATTCTTAAGTCAGCACTCAGCTTAACATAAAGTCTAATGTAACACAAGAGTATCTCTTATTCTAATGGGATTTATTCATATTGAAAAGATAGTTAAAATCCTGGAAGCTTTCTAATTCACTTATACAAACTATCTGTAAACCAAAAGCAAAGAATGTCATAGCTGGAGTGTTTCAGTTTTAAATAACATCAACCCATATGGTTATAATTCATGGAAATGGAAGACATTTCTTTTCATCAGATACTATGAACTTGTGCTCTTCAGTGCTGTCTGTGGACCAGTGCCAATCCACAAACTTTGTCACTGATTTGTGGCAGGATACACATAGAAAATTAACATTTAAAAACTTCTTGAGCAATTTGACAGTAACTTTATATCTATAGAATTTAGTAGTTTTTAAAATGCAGTTTACATTTTGTCAGTTTTTTTCACTTCAATTTTCCAATGATCTGTTTTTCACGTGTCATAAAATTTTTATAACAGACTAAAAGTTAAAAAAAAAAAGAAACTTGATTTGTCAGCTTTGATTACATAAGAAGCAACAATGAGTTCTTGTCACTATAATGGCAAACCATGTGGAGATAAAATTCTCAACTATGACTGTAGCAGAAACTTGATTTGTCAGCTTTGATTACATAAGAAGCAACAATGAGTTCTTGTCACTATAATGGCAAACCATGTGGAGATAAAATTCTCAACTATGACTGTAACAGTAGAACAGGAAGAAATGATTACAAGTCATGTTAAAGGGCAGAATACATAGAAACTGATGTTTCCTTGTGCCTGACAGGCCTGTAGGGTAGAGAAAGGGAAATTTGTATCAGTTCCCTATACACATTCTAACTTGGGACACTACAAGTAGAAATTCCATTCACTAATATACGTTTTCATATTCTCTCTCATTTGTGTGTGTGTGGTGGGGAAGGAGTGAGAATGGAGTTATCAGATGGCATTTGTTATGAGACGCAATGTATTTAACAAATCTGTCAGAAAGCCAAAGGAAGATATTTGGTTAACAGCATAATATTCAGCCAAAAGCCTAACTTTAGACAAAGGTTCAAGTCCTGAGTCTTGGCAAAAGACTGATTGCTCATCAAAAACACCTTAGTTTCAATTTCCTCAGTTAAAAATGTAGAAAACATTATTGTTGTGTGGG